GCAGGATATCTTGGTTGCTCCCAAGTTTTGGCAGTTAGGAGTAAAGATGCCATAAACATCCAAATGCAGATTTTTGTGAGCACGTAAGTTCTCAGATCCTTTGGATAAATACCAAGGAGTGTGATTGATGAATTGTATGGTAATAATATGTTTAGTTTTGTAAGAAACCAACTATCACCCAAAGTTACAGTACCATTTTGCGGTCTCACTAGCAGTGAAGGAGAGTCTCTGTTTGTCCGCATCTTCATCAGCACTTGGTGTTGTCAGCATTGTGGACTTGGCAATTCTAGGAGGTGTGTGCTGGTATCGCATTATTGCTTTAATTTGCATTTCCCTGATGACGTGTGACGTGGAGTATCTTTTATTTGCCAACTGTCTATTTTCTTTGGTGAGGTGTCTATTAAAGCCTTTGATCCATTTTTAATCAGGTAGTTTTACTTATTAGTAAGTTTTAAGAGTTTCTTTTGAGTTTCTATATTTTGTTCTTCGTATATTTTGTACAACAGTCATTTATCAGATGTTTCTCTTGAAAACATTTTTTCCTAGTTAGTGACTTCTCTTTTCATTCTTTTGACATGAGATATTCTTCACAGTTTTAATATAAGTAATTACACTAATTTTTATTGTGTTGTGTTTTATTGTGTTTATTGTAATGTTTATAGGTTAACAATACCATTTTATTTTCTCTATGTTGTATGGAATGACTTCTGATCATGTCTTAAAGTTGAAATTCTCAGAAGTAGGTGCAGGGATCTAACTACATCTACTAGTGTGGTAGTGTCCTAAGATTTACTAATTTAAATATATATTATTAAACATATATTTAAATATATTATTTATAAGGTATTTTATATTTAAATTATGTATGCATGGTCACATGATGTACAGATTTTATGTAGTCTGGTAAAGTGGGGTAGCACAAATCACTCGCTGCAGTGAAGTGGTATTGGGTCTAATGGGGGACGAACACTGTCATTGCTGGGGACCAGAGCGTTTTCCCTTCTGCTCTGCCATCCTCAGTGTGTCAGACTGTGTCCCCTGAGGTCATAGGGAGTCTGCCACTGTTCTTGGCATCACGTGCAAACACAATGGTATCTAAAAAGGGTCTAATTGTATTAATGTCTCAGGATTCTTGTAATAAACTGTATGTTTCATACTGCTATTCAAAAAATACTGTAATTGTTAACTCGATCTAAATATACATAAAAGAGTGTAATTTCCTGAGTGATCTAGGGAAGGTTGGCAGTTGAAGATTTAATCTCAATAGCTGGTCTACTCCTTTTTTCCTCCAAGGGGGGTGGAGAATCTAATTCAGAAGAGTACAGAAATCATGTAAATGCTGTTGAGGTAATTGCCTACTTCCCAGAAAGAAAAGAATTAGCTTTCTAAAAAATGTATTTGCTAATATATATTTGCTAATTTTATTGAAGCACATTTTTAAAATTTTTTCATGTGAACAATTTTTTTTCTAAGAAATTTAATTTTATAGTTTGGTGAACATTTAGCTCAGCTAAAACCATTTTGTCATAATAATCTCCTTTCTTTACATGAAAACATAGGGGAGCTGAGATTTCTCTTGAAGAAATTAGTGTTTTGGAACTGGCTGGTCAGGACAGTACCCAGGCCCAGGATGCAGAGGCAGAAATGCCTGCAGGGGCCAGGCGGTAGCTGAATGATAGAATCGGGCCCAGTGGAAGGGGCTGTGGCCCAGTGGAAAGCACATATTTATTCATGGGTGGCAGCCAGCACCCAGCTTTAATTAATAGTTGCCACATTGGAATTAGGCTCAGAGTTGCCAGATCTTTTGATTTTTCAAGGAAAAAATCAAATATCTGATTTATTTGTGAAATTCCTGACTGTTAGATGTTGGCCCAGTTTAAAAGAAACAAACAAAGCAACACTTAAGTGAGCCTAACAAAGCACATTTATGGGAGATACTTGTTCTGTGAACTGCCATTTGCAGCTTTTAAACTACCCCATTTGTTTAGACTGTGGAGTGCAATAACTGATGAATAACACCACTTACCAGTGTTTGTGCTACGGAAAGAAAGGGTGATTCTCTCAGAAATTGTAGTAGACCTACTGAATGGGACCTGCACTTCATTCTACTCATTTGCCAATTATCATGGGGGTGTTAGCTAACTGTTGCATAACCTCAAGTTGTTTTAGATTTTAGTGTAGATTGGTCCTCCACCGTTGATCATGGAGGATTTAAGATAGAAGATGGGGAAAATTCAGAGGTGCAGACCCAGGAAGTTGGATTAAAAGAGCCAGTTCACCTGCACCACCCTTGAGGCAGAGTGGCAAGTGCCTTGCCTCCTGTCTTTTGGATTGTGACACAGTAATGCATGCTCCCTCCCACCCCGCCCTCACATGGTACACTGACACATTCTTTTAACCTTTGTGACTCAGGTAAACCTCCTCTAGAGGACAGATTCCCTATTCCTGCTTCCCCAGCATCTGCTGATTGTTTTAGAAGGGCTGTTACTTCCTCTACCCTCCAGGAACGTGGCTGAACTCTAAACCCTTCCCTAACATCATCTAACTTCCTCTTGTATATTTTTTTCTCCTTATAATCAGATATTGAAATTCTGACTTCCCAAATAAAAGTCTTCAAAACTAGGAAAATAATAGAAAGGTGCTTTAAAGCATTATTTCTGAAAACAATTTGGTATGTAGATGATTTTTATTTTGCATTGTTTTTTTTAATTTTTTTTTGAAAATGGTTGCTTAACCCTATTTGAGAAACTCTCAGGCTCTTGGAATACTGAAATTAAAAGTCAGCAAACTGAACTGGAATGTTTTAAGTTGGTCCATACAAAAAAGGATCTTCTCTCTTGTGAAGCGTCATCTTCCACAGTGTCAGTCCTTTTAGATTAAACTGAGAGCTTAAAACTACAAAATGGATTACATGGACTCCACTGATTTAGGAGTTACAATAATTTAGAGGTAGTTGGGTACATTTTGTTGCTTGCATAATCTCTGGGAGTATGTGTACTTGACACATTAATTACTTAAATCAGGACATGTGTTTAGTTTTAGTTAGCCCAATTAAAAATGAAAGCCAGCAATTATCTGCAAACTCCATTTCCATAACAAACTCATGGAAAACAATGAATCACCGAATGCAAATAATTCTTAGACAAGACAATCTGTAATTTGTATGGAAAAATACCTGTAGTAGGTAGTTTTCGGCAATGGTAGTTTTGTGATCTTGGACAAACCACTAAAACTTCATTGAACCTTTTTTCCTCATCTGTAGAGGCATCATCTCATTATAAAGGTTGTTAAGAGAATCAGATTAAAAGGTTATGTATTATTATCATTCATTTATTGACCTATTCAAGGTCTAGATTCAGATCTTCAAATTTCACTGTTTTTAACTGTTTTGATTTATTCGGTTGAGGGATTCAGAATAATAAAGAAAAGATTTGGTACCTAAGGACAAGTGAATTTTTGTTTAAAGATGTTTGTAAAATGTTTTATAGTATCCATTTGTTCCCATAATTAAGTTTGTGTTTCTCTCCACAACCTTCCTTGTAGGCATAAAAAGAAGAGGGTAGGGGGCTTCGTGAGGATAGTGGGAATACATTGAATCTAACTTGACACATCTCAGCTGTTTACATCTCGAAGAGAGGCAAATTGCCTGTGCATCCAACAACAGATAGTGCTGAGTGCACTCACTCCCTTGTGGAATGGTCCTAACAACTTGATATTACATAGACATTGAACAACTCTGACACACTAAGAAACTTTTTTAAAAATTACATTTCTGGGAACATCAAGTTGCAGTATATTATTTGTTTAGTAGGTAATATGATGACATGTTTTATTAATTGTGTTGTAAACAAACAGAATTTTTCCTGATTTTAAAGTTTTCCATTCATTTAAAGACCTGAAGAAAGAAGCTAGAGAGAAAAATATTATCCATGATGAACACTGACCTGTCTCGACTTCTGAGTACCCCTCGCATCAGGTCTGAAGTGTTTCTGATTGCAGTGCTTAAAAAAGAAGTTGTGATTTTGGAGACAAAGGCTGAACAGGGTGTGAGCATTTTTCGAAAATCTCTCTCCATCTTCAGCAAAAACTAAGTTTTATTTGCTCTTTAGCCTATTTGTTTTCATATTTTTAAAAAATGTAACTCATTTAAATTTGCAAGCAGAGTTGGATTATTTGTATTTTTCTCCCAAACCATGCAGTTTTTTTTTTAAAAATTGCTGATTATGGTATGCTGTTACAATGCTTATGAGAACCCTCTCTGTGAAGTACATTTTAATATTTAGATCAAATAGCAACTGGACTACGTTAATGCCCAGTGGGTACATGTGTCATTTGAAAGCAGCTGCTGAGCCTTCTCCCTGCTGCTCCAATTAACACATACCGCACACTTTTGTCAGCAAGAGGCAGTGCACATGGATGAAACCACTTTATTGCTCATTAGGAGGATATGCAAGAGTGCACAAAGGGTTAAGCAATCTGCCCATCGCAAAAGGGAGCTTTCCAAGAAGTTTCCCAAATCCCGAGCTTTGCTGGAAAGGGTGTTAGATTAGGGGGTGGGATTAGCAGGTGAGAGAAAGTTGGTTTGTGTCTAGCTTTGGTTCGGTCCATTTACTGGCCTGTTTCCCCGCCCCTCTCTTCTCCTCCACCCCCGCCCCTGATGATGGAGACACCGGATAGTGAAATTCTAGTGCGGGGACTCCCCTCAGCTGAATCTCGTGTTGAACTTTGTTCTCTTTTGTTTTAAAGCTCTTTGAAGGCAAAAGCTTCACTGTATTTTTTTCTCTTTCATCGTCTTTATCATTTTACTTTCTCCCTCTTTTCCTTTTTTTTCTTTTTTAAATTGCACATCTGACAGTTGACCAGGCAAAGTAAGAAATCTTGTCAAGGCAAACCCCTATCGCTGTTATTTTTCCCTCCCGTGGCTAAAACCCTCAGGTTTTGTGCTACCGTCGATGGTAGCACAGAGGCAGATGGAAGGGTAGCGCGGCAGGGTCGGTGCGGGGCATTCATGCTCCACCAGCTCCCGGAGCAGCTGGGCTGTCTCCACTCCGCCGCTGGCTGAGTCGGCTGCGCGGTGAGAGAGAGAGATGGACCGCTTCCTGGGTTTCGTCAAGCAAATAAGGAGATCTAGGAGAAGAAAGGGGAAAAAGTACCGGCCAGAAGAGGATTACCACGAGGGCTATGAGGATGTCTATTATTACGCTTCAGAGCATTTTCGAAGTAAGCACTTCCTTCCACCCCCCTGTTCCTTCTCGCATGCCCGGGGTAACAATACACCTTGTGTGGTGCTTTAATCTTCGGTGCAAAAGGTTTCCCAGATAGTATTCTAGGTGAACAGTCTGTAAGTACCAAAGTGCTACGTATTGCTTGATTTGTTGTGAGAATAACCATCAGATAGCATCCAGACAATGTAACTAGCCCAGGTCTATACACATGATTAATATTTTAGGTGCAGTAAATTGATTATGTTATCATTTTTAGTGAACCATTCAAAAATTATCTTTCAAGCCAATGTAGTAGATGGTTAAGTTACGTTCTGTTGGAGTTCTTTAAAAATAACTGTGTTTTCTTTAGAATAGGGAAGGCTAGATCATTTGGAAGAAATAATTGTTCATGTTCAAGTTGATGGGGATGATTAATGCCCTCCATACAGACTTCCTATCAGTTTTCTGTGATGAATCTGAGGTGTTTGTATAAGGAAATTCACATGCTTTTCTTTGACCCATGTTTATAATTTTGTTATTAAATTAAGGGAACTCTTATTTGTTGTCTACTAGAAGCAGTGGGACTTGAACAAATAATATATCTGTACTAAGACTTTTGTAAATTATCTTATAAATAGCAGAGAACTAGAGTTTTTCTTGTACTTAGCAGTCCTTTAAGTTCCTGGTGAGGTTTAGTCTTATCCCAATAGATTTAAAATACCCAGAAATGACCAAGGGTGCAGAGAAGCAGCAGCTGCATGCAGAGATCACTGAGTTTATGAGGTGCCCTAAGTGGATAGAACTGATAGTTATATATGGCCTACACTTAGAAACTTAAGAATTATTTTTATCTTCTTGAAGAAGGATTTTTATAAACTTGTATTTCAAGTCTAATTCTCCCTGGCCTTTTGATGTCTATTGTAATATATCCCATCTACAACCTCTGAGTGTTGACTAATAAATAATTTAGAATCCATTTCTGTGGTATAAAAATCCATGAGAATCTGGTCTACTTGCCAGAAATTCTGTTGTGATTGATGACAGCTGAGAGTTGAGAATTCATGTGGTGGCAACAACACAATAATGCAAAATTATAATTCTTTGACATTTGTTTTGATAATATGGCTATGTGGCTTTTAACAGAGTAATCTCTGAGTTTTAGAGATGTTTCTGTTCTATAATGCTTTTCCATGAATAATCTGCTCTAATGTAGTGACAGTCTATGTTTCCTAAATTTAGTTTCCATAATATGTTCAAGAATTTAAGATTTGTGTCACATCAAGAAATGCTTTCAGCTGGCATGCATAATTCTGAAAACTGGGAGATAAAAAAAGAAACAGGAACCTTTAATTACATTGTATGCATTGTACCAATTTCTTACAACCAATATACGCAGGATCTGGCAGAAGTAAGGTTTGCTTGAGGGTGGTTGGTAGGGTACCTGAATGTCTGTCTCCCATGAGATGGGCAGCAATTTGAACATTTCACCTAAAATGTCAGATGGTGTGCTCGAGTGTGATTGTGTTATATTACAGAATTACCTGCTTATGATTTTGTAATAAAAGACTTACATTACAAAAAAGAGGGCATCCGGCATTATACAGCTGGATGCTGTATAATGAATCAAATTTATACCTTCTTGAATTTGTATTGTGATGTATTTGTACAAATAGAAAAAAAAACCTCTTTCAAATGCCTGCATCCTGCTAGTTTAGGTAAGAATTTACAAACAACAGAGATACTTTATAAGTTTACCAAATGTGCCTCTTAGAAGAGAGAGATATTTGTGGAGGTGGCTATAAAATACCCTCCCACCAGAGTTGGGAAAAGGCCACAGCCTTCTCTTTACCACAGCAGTCTTTATCCATCGAAGGCAGTCACTCAAGCAGAATGGTGTCTTAACTTATCTGATCAGTCACAGCCATGCTAAGAATAAGATGCTAACCATCAAAGGTTATTTGCTTTAGATACAAAACTGACAGGCTCCCCTGTGATTTACTAGAAAGCACCCATTATGTAATATATAGCTTTGTGCAGTTAGATGCATGTTGAGTCGCCAACTTCAAACTGCTGTGTGGTAAACAGAATGTGTCACAGTGGATGCAGGCACTTGGGATTTGACATTTCATTAAAAGTTAAGTAGCCAGGGCTTCTGAAGACATGTCACATGACATAATGACCTCTCAGTGTATCTTTTGGTTTCAGTTTCTGGGCATCTCTGAACTGGGTAGGGAACATATCCACTTATATTTTACGGCTGTAGAAAAGTATTAACGGGTGAGACTGATCTGTGAAACCAGTCCTCTCAAATGAGTAATACGATTTAATTCAATTACATCTGTGGTGTATCTCTTTTAATTAGTCTTTGGTATAATTTGAAAGTGTATGTCCTGCATTTCTCTAGATGGCTTAGGAAAACTGTTTTACATTAAGGCTAAAACTTGGTGGAATTGACTGATGACATTCACATCTTAGTTAATGGTACCATTGATAAACCAGAAGAGTTGTTGCTGTTATTTCTCTTCCTATATTGTTTGTTGAGAGAAACTTACAGCTCTGTCTTGTCAGTTTATCTAGTGGCTCAGCTTACCACAAGAACTTATGCATATAACAATGAAAGATCAAGCCAGAAAGACCCTCCCAGAAAATTCTCCAATAAGTATGCTCCTCCTTTAGCACATTCTCAAGTGCTCACTGATATCTAACTTTATCCCTAACCAATGTCTCTTCTGTGGTGGGTTCTGACTTAGAATTTCACCATCCTTTTTTCATCTTAAAGACAACGCAGTTTATGATCTCATGACCTGCAAAAGCCTGGTTAACATGTCAGGAGAACCTGAGCCTTTGAAAGAGAGGTTAATTTGAAAATAGATGATTTTTCTGTAACTCCATCAAAATTGAGTTTGAGTGATGATGATGGTGATGATGAGGAGAGTAGACTGATTTTTAAATCTTCCCTGTTTTTTTATAGTGACATGATGTATGTCATTGTTCAGGGGGTGGCTATATTTGATTCTGAAAAAGCTGCTTTCATCACTTATCTATCCCTTCATAACTCCAGAATTAGAGCTTCTAGAAAAATGTTTTGGTCAAATCCCCAAACTTTTCTGTGTTTTTATTTACTAAAATCTGACAGGAGATGGAATTATTGCTTAAGATTTTTCAAGTTCTAGAACTACATAATCTTTATAGTTTTTGTTTTATTCTAAAACAGTTCAGATAAACATACTGGCTAAAGAATTTTTAACTGGTATTTCTACCAAAAAATTCACCTGGATGTCTGGAGGGAATTGTATTTCTGGCAGGAATTGTGGGTAGGAAGATTTCTGTTCCTTTGAGATAACAATCTATCATTGAATATTAAGGAGTTTCAGAGAATATTTGTAAGCCTACAAAATTCTGAAGATGTTGGTAAATTCTAGACCTCATCTTTTATTTAATCTTATCTGTCAAGGAGCAGCATTTACTCTGAAATTCCCACATAGATGATTTGTTTGATATTTTTGTTAAAAAAAAACTGGTACTGATTACAAAACTGATTCATAAACTTGAATGTAATGAAGAGCGAGAAAACAATCTCAGTATTTACTTTTATTATGTTTGGTGCTTTTATTTGTTTTTCAGTAAATGCTGTGTTAGAGCATGGCTTTTTAATGGCTCCGGAAGATAACGTTTTGATTAATTTGTGATACAAAAAACAAACCCTCTCACCAGATGTATTTATTTAGCCACACTTAATAATATTTGAATTATAAAACAGGTAATATATATTTTATAAGCTCTCACTTAGCACTGTTCATATTCACATTGAATTCAGACCTGCCGTGGTCCATGCAAGGCAGGTTATGGAATTCCTTTAGAAGGAGGAATTTATCTCAAATGAATAAGAGTCTGTGAGCCGCTTTGCTCATGGCCCTGGCGTCTTGGGCACATGTGTGGTGGCATTGAATAAAGCATGGAGTTCCTCCATGGTAACCGCCCTTCTCAGTTTTCTGCAGGCCTTGCCCGGGTGAGAGAAAGCCGTGCAGGAGAGCTGCTGGGGTCAGTCATTAGCGACCCACCCACCTTTTCTCCTGTCGTCCTTTCAGGGAATATGGTTTGGATCTTTGAATAAAGGTCATTTGTACTTACAAATTAATGTGTTGCTTTTCTTTGCTGTTTGCCTGTTCTAATAGGTAGGTGTTCAGCTGTATAAAAACATCATTGGCAGCCCTGGCTGGCGTAGCTCCGTGGATTGAACTCGGGCTGCGAACCAAAGTGTCGCAGGTTCGATTCCCAGCCAGGGTACATGCCTGGGTTGCAGGCTATAACCCCCAGCAACCGCATATTGATGTTTCTCGCTCTCTCTCTCTCTATCTCCCTCCCTTCCCTCTCTAAAAATAAATAAATTTAAAAAAAACATCATTGGCTAAGTTACATTGTTAAACAATGCATGCACCTAAAGTGCCTGCGATGTTCAAACTGCATTTTAAGAGGGCTGCTTACTTTCTTTCACTTCTTTGAAAAATGCCCTGCATTGTTCCTCTTGGACAAAACACATTTTTGGTAATAGGTATGTATAGTGTGAGAATTTTCTGGAATTGGTGTGGGTAACTAGTTCAAGTAATTTCTTCTCACTAGTCCATTTAACAGATTTTTTTTTTTTTGCATTTCATATAATCACATCCCTTTTCCTTCCTGAATTGACATCTAATTAGGATCCTCTCTCTTGGTAAGGATGCCAAAAGGATAGAGTGAGAACTTTTACATGGACTTTGGAAAGGTAGCTGATCCCTGCTCCCAGGTGTGCAAAAGCTGAACACACCCCGTGGAAGGGGATGTTGCCGTCCTAAGCCCATAGTTGCAGGGGTGGAGTGGTGATACAGGAAGAGGGGTGGGAGAGGAAAGCGAGAAATGGAAGAAGAGGGGGCAGCACATTTTATAGGTTATCCTCACCCTCCAATGCTTACAAGCAAAAAAGCCATTTATTTCTATGTTAAAAACAGTGGTCATCGAACTGACAGGTCTTAAATGTGA